GAAGTAGTTGGTCAAGCTACAATTGAGCATACTATTAATGCCGATGATACAGTCACCATTTTAAACCCTAGTACAATTTTCAAGATCAGTGACTGGGGTATACATTAGCTTATATTAAGATGAAGACAATAGGATTTTCAGGTTAAATGATAATCCACAAAATATGGCTACCATTAGAGCTCAATCTGGAATTCGTAAGGATTTGGCCTTTGCACCAGTTTAGTGAATTCTGTATTCTCCTTATTGTTTGATATATGATATTCATTCATTTTTCATAATTTTCCTAGTCTACATTTACTTTGCTTGGCACATCTGCATAGGTACTCCAATATTGTGATTTTTCTATACTTATAATGTAATTTCTTATATATAGCTATTCAAATGAAACCAAAGCTTTATCTATGGAAATGAAGTTTATTGAGTTCAACATTTTCTAAAATTTTGATTCTCTTTCCTACCTGGTACAAAATTGTTTTGTAGAACCTCTCCCAGCCTACATATTGTTTTGAAATCACCTTTTCCAGATAATGAATCTATGTTACCCTACTGCTCTTAGTTAAACCTTGCAGAAAATCTCGTGAAACAATCAGTTTATAAAGATTTGCAATTACTATGCTGTGCCATCTTGAAAATAGTGCATGCTTAACCCGAATATATCAGGAGGGCATGTATACATGACCTGTCCACTTTTATTTTAGTTTGGTTTATTTTTTTATCACATATTCACCTTCAGAAGTGCTTAGTCGTCATTGAGTCAGTTACTAGGACAACCGAATCTCATCTGTTGAACCCATTCCTGGAAATTTTTGGAAAGAAAACTCTTTATATTTGCTATTTTTGTTATTTGTAATAGTGTTATGATAACAGTAGTGTTCATAATAGTGAAATTAATAATGAAACAATGGTAGTAAAAATAAAAACATTGTTTCAGAAAATTCATGGAATGGGATGAACAGGTGAAGTCAGGTATGACTAGTACTGGACTCCTTGGAAAATCATTTTTGTTTAAACAAAAATAATGAAACAAACCTATAGTGGACACTGCATATACCTAGTACCAGTAGGCTAAACAAGTGACTCCATCCTACCCCCATGTTTGTAAATATGTGATTTTTCAGGATGTCTTGTCTCTCCCTTCTTAATGAAAATGCAAAGTGATCCAGTGTAATTTTTACTGCAACTCAGGGTGATCAAAAGTTTTCAAAATAGCAGGCTACCTAGGTCCAAGGGGGGGCCAGGAAACTGAAAAATGCAACCCCTCGGATGCATTTTCTGTGCATCTGAAAACAGTATTTTTGAATGATGCGTAAAAGTAAAAGTACCCGGCGATTGAAAGGCCGACAGATGGCGAATTTTCGATGGGTGCCTGCTACTTTTGATCACCTTGCAACTTTGTTACCACATAGTTTTCCTTTTGATGATACTCATTTGCTAGGTTTTTAATATTCTGATATTTTATTGTGTTTTTTTCACTTATCAAAGCATAGTAACATGCAACTAAATTTAGGCATTTTATTTTATTCTGTTGCAATAGATGTTCATATATTCTTTATAAATCCAAAACTTTCATGTTACTCGATTTTTGTTTTAGTGTTACTTTATGTTAAATGTTTTAAAGACCATTTAGATATTTTCATTAGTATTCTCCTTTGGCAGCTTAAAAGGCTAAGTCATGATTCTTGATGTGCAGCTATTCTGTAGGTACATTAAAGGATTTACTCTTTTCCCTATTGAGTAACGCTCAAGAACATATATCAAGCATTTTTATTTTTGCTAGGATTAAACTAGTGATAAGGACCAAGTTCTCTTTTTGGGGATGTTATTTTTTTGGGCTGAATTCAAATCCTCAGGTTTTTACATACATTGTGTAGTTATCAGACATTGATGCCAAAAGTTCATTTACTTACAAAAATTGATAGTAAAAGGAACTACTGAAGAAGGCATTTTAAAGTTTTTTAGCTTTATTTATCATGTTGGAATGCAGGTCTTGATAAAGTTTTGAAACAACAGTCAAGCATTTTGCATGTTATATTATGAGGTGTTATATTATATCCTTTCAAGTGGTTATACCCTACACCTTTTAAGGGGAAAGTACACATAAATGATCCATTTCAGTAGCTATTCTCCATAAGTCAAAGGATGGTGTGTCAAATATTTCAATGATGCAGAATATTATAATACACCTTTTCCACCAGTTTAATTGAAATTTGTGGATTTTTTATCCCAAAAATGGATTGTGATTGTGTAATTCTTCCTTAACTCAAAAAAGGTAAATAGGAGTGTGTGAATGCATGTGTAGGTTCATATATTTATCTATTTATTTGATTTCAGGTTTATTTGAGTGAAAGGTGATATAATTCTAAGTGGAAACTGTATGTTTAATCTGTTATGTGCCTTAGCTTGTCAGTAAGACAGCACCTCTTGACCAGTGGGATGTAATTTCTAAGGATCTGATACTCAGAATAAATGTGAGGAATTTATCACTCAGAAAGTGTAAGGA